CGTTTCGGCCCCGAGGGCCGAGGCGCCCCGACCCCTTGTGGGTTTTGCGCCGCGTGTATAGGTTAGGTGAGCACGGCGGGGCTCACCTAACCGCATTTATTGCGGTTTGGACGAAAGCGTCACGTCGCATGTAACGCAGTGCAGCGCGCTCGTTTATCCGGTCTGTGACCAGTCACAGGCCGGTCAGATCGTGGGTTAGGTGGCAACAGGCGGTCTGACACACGCCTCGCCCCATCCCGTCAGGATAAGAGCCTCCAAGCACTCGTCCCTAGCCGGAGCCGGCGTGTTAGCTCCTGGAGATGGCACGTTGGTCCCGGTCAGATATATGCCAGGCTTCATCCCAACCATTACAAGCAAGATATTGTATGAAGAAGGGCGAACATGCAGATTGCTAGACTGACACGTGGTGGACAAGAATGACCGATTTATGACCGGTCTGACACTGGTCATGTCATCGGCAGACAACCATGTTCCCACGTCTCACCTGCTTCCGGCGGAAGTGGAGGTAGGTATGGGCCGTCCCATCAGAAGGTCATTCGGACAGCAGCCATTGCAAGTCTCCGCCCATTTATGAAGAGATGACAGGGTGATCCCCGAGGTCAGACGAGTGAGGACGCGTGGCCACACTCAAAAACAAGCAGTATTTTTAGCTTTCTAGAGAAGACAAGCCAAGTTTGAGTAAAGATAGGATAAGTCCCGACACAAAAGAGAGATAGGTAGAAGTGGTGCATGTGGTATCCCCTTGAGATATAAAAGGAGGACCTTGCCCACTTAGGATTGGGGACTCCCGGAGGATCCAGGAGAAGATCCCACGAGAGGAAAAAAGGGAGAAGAGGGTTTCTAGAGTAAGAGCTCTCTGGCTCTCCAGCTCTTTGTAGCTTCTTCATACACAGATCCACCAGAACACAGGAGTAGGGTATTACGCTTCTCAGCGGCCCGAACCTGTATACATCGCCCGTGTCTTGTGCTTTTTCCATTGTCGCGAACCTTCCACAGACTAGGAGCTTAGAACCTCACCCAGAGCCCCCGGCCGAACCGGCAAAGGGGGGCCTGCGCGGTCTCCCGGTGAGGAGCCCCCACGCTCCGTCAAGAGGTATACAAGAAAGTAAGCAAAATTCAGGGGCATAAAAGAGATTAGCTAAATTTCAGGGGTATACTATTAAATTTATTTTTTAAAAATATACTATTTATTTTTTATGCGGGATATAATTTTATTGGCACAAATAAACCATCAATATTGCGGCGCAAGACGTACCGCTCGGTGTCGCGTGGCCAGGCTGCGAGACCAAGCATGCCCAACGAGCGAGACCGAGCATCATGCTGCCTCCTGCCGCTAATCAGGGATTAATTATGCTAATTAGAAATTATTAATTAATTAATTAATAATTAATATAATTAATCACTAATTATATGACGCCATTGACTTTTTATCTAACGTTTGACCATTCGTCTTATTCAAAAAATTTATATAATTATCATTTATTTTATTGTGACTTGATTCATCATCAAATGTTCTTTAAGCATGACATGAATATTTTCATATTTGCACAAAAAAATTAATAAAACGAATGGTCAAACGTTGATTAAAAAGTCAATGGCGTCATACATTAAAATATGGAGGTAATATTAATTAGTTGCTAAATATCCAATTTCAAACGCACGGTAGTCGCACGAGTTCGGTCTCGCACGCTTACTGCACGAGAGCACTCGGTCTTACGCCGTTTCCACGCGACATCGTGCGGTCTCGCGTTTTCATCGTGCGAGACCGCCTACGTCATCACATCCATGTCACATGTCACTTTTACATAAGGATTCAGCCAGGGGCGAAGCTAGCATCAAAATAAGGGGTGCACTACCATTAAGAATCTAGAAATTTTCAGTACAACACTGTACATTCTAATGTTTTTAAGTGAAAAATTAGGAATTTAGGGTTCATGTGCACCCCCAACATAATATAGCTTCGCCACTGGATTCAGCAGCATTGATGGTATATTTGTATCGAAAAATTTACATCCAAGATATTTATGAGAAAAAAAAAATGAACAATATATTTTTCAAATTTAATCCCTCCATGCACAGCGACACGCTATTTGCACCGTTTTCACCTTTGGCCGACTAGATACAAATGCTTCATCGCCGACCGTCCAATTTTCACATGCAGTTGTTGAGTAATCACTCCGACACAATAATTGTTTAAAAGATAAAGTTATATTGGGACAAGTAATATGATAAAAATGAAGTTATTATGGGACGGTAGAAGTAGCACTGATGACTGAAAGTGCTGGTCCAGGAATAATCCAACCCCAGATGTCGATTCATAAGAAAGATACAAAGGAGAAAGGTGCATCGAAGCATCATGTGTACAGGGTCGTATATAGCCCAGCCCCTCTGATACGTCTGCTTGACCATTAGAATTGATATGCCGATACTCTCAACGAGATGCTTGAAAAAAACTGCAAAATGTCTCAGCAGTGGTCAAAACATTTATGGTCTTAACGTAAAACAAGTAAACAACTGGTCTTGGTGACTAGCATGATATGAAATCGTTTTTTCATGGAGTCAGCAGGACGAAGATGAATGGTTAATTACTTTCACCAACCATCTTTCTTTTACCACGCATGCGCTGTGTGACAGCGGCGGAGCAGTTTTGCAGTGCAGGGCACGGCGTTTGCCCAGCTCAAAAATACTACTATTACAGTTGAAAATGTAGCCAAAATTTTCAACTATAGTAGTATACATTTTTGACTAAAATATTTCTGAGCTGGAATTCCTCAACAAATCGACACGGACGAACGACGATTCTTGACAGTTGACAGTGTACAAGTACACAGCTAATTAAGTCAAGTAGAACGACAACGACTTGATAGTCTAGTTTTCTCCGGCCGGCTGCAGGTCGACGCGCAAATCTGTTGGAGAGAAAAAAAACAATTTTGGAGAAAAAACAATCCAAATTTGGAAAAAAAAAACAATATGCATTGATTGCATTATTGTCACTACTCACAAGTGATCAGTCAAGCCCAGACTGCAGCTCACCAAAGTCCTCGTCCTTGACCCCATGTCTTCCAATCGACAGGTCCGTGGACCAAGAGAGAGTTTTCCCTGCCGGCGGCTGCCGGAGATGCCAACAAAGAAGGTCTTCTCTTGGCCTCTTAGACCGCGTTATTCCGATGCTAACAAAGAGACTCTTCTTGTCTGTCTTAAAATATAATTACCTTATAATTTAGAAATCCAAAACAAGCAAGTATTCCCTCCGTTTAACAATGTAAGTCATTCTAGCATTCACTGTATTCATATTGATGTTAATGAATCTAGACATATTAACATCAAATGAATATGGGAAATGCTAGAATGATTTACATTGTGAAACGGAGGAAGTACCAAATAGTATTGTCAGACGACAATGAGTACGACCGTCGCCAGTTCACCTATAATCCCATAGCTTTGCGGGTTAATTTAGATGCTATAAAAGCCAAAAAGTAGAACCATCGAAAAAGATATAGTTGGTCTTCAAAATAGGATTTTCAATACTATAAAACAAAATTTAACAAAAATTATTACTCCAGATATATGCAAGTTAAACTTGATCAATATAAATATCAAATCAAACGTGCTTAAACACCCCTTTTAGATTACATATATACTCAACTTATAATCCATTAATTTCAAAACTATTTTCAAAACTCATTTACATTTTTCTCTTTGCCAAATAGCTTTGGTAACAAATGACTATAGCATTAAAAACATCATTAATATAACATGTGCATTAAACTACTCATGATTGTGGAATTAGTCGACGGCGGCGGCAAATTATTTGGGAGGAAGAAGATGACACCGAGCTCCAATCTCGCGGCACCAATCAAGGGGTTTCTTGATCCCAACATTGAGGGCAATGCATCCATTTCCCGGTGAACCAGAGTATGAATTCCTCAGTTCACATTTGGAACAGATAGAGGGCGTGCAGGAGAGGCTGTTTGGCGAAGCTAGGAGGTTAAAACATCAAGTCTGCCATGCGGTCTTGGTGGGACACACTTTGGTTGCTTCGGCAAAGCACCATCGACGCAAGGGTGTGCACGGCCCACGAAGGAGGGTGAGTTGGCATGCGCGCATTCTGAGGTTGATTGGCGGGGTCCATGGCTACTTGGGCCCAGTAGTAGTGAGAAAGAGAGTGGGGAATGGGACTAGAGGCTAAGGCTGGGTTTGATCGAATCTTCTACTTGGCTGGGCTATTTTTATTTTTTCCATGGAGCACGCTTTTCAAATTAAAATGGTGTCTTTCGTACAAAAACAAAGAGTTTCTTAAACATCAAATAAATATATTTGAAAATTTATAATAGTTAATACTTAGTCAATCTCGCTAATGAGTTGTCTCATTTTGCGAGGACAGATCAGCTCGGCCGAACAGAATGTTTGAACGCAGCCTAAGTGTCATGATGTGGTCAGTTAGTTGTTTTCGCCCGTTTTCACCAAGTTAGAAAATGGTTAAAATTGTGACAAAATTACTGGTGCAGTGGTTAGCATTATGGAAAAATTGCACAGGCAGAGGTGTTAGGGTTGATTAGTGGTGAAACTGTAAAGTTCTCTAATTGTTAAGGTCAGCTGTTGTGTTTTATCACTTAGGGGTTTTGCAGTGTCATTTCATGTGGTTACATCTGGATTCAAATTGAGCAAAAAATTACTAGTAGTATATGAAAACTTGGTTAGTACTTGGGCCAAAATGCACTAGAAAAGGAGATAGGATTAAAATGTAGTGAAATTGTGAAATAGGTTTATTGTTTTTATTAATTAAATTGCATATGGATTTATTGAGGTACTAGATCAAGTGATAAAATTATGAAAAACAAATATAGTATGTTTTGTGCGATGTTTAGTATTTTTGGAAATGTTTCCAAAGTTTTTGACAATCAAGATTTTTGTGTAAATTTTGCTAAGTTTATTTAATGCATATAAAACTTACTATGAGATGCAAGAAAGAAAAAACAAATCTCAATGAGTAAAGCACATAGGGGGGGATTTTGCTTTATTGATAGAAACATTTGATTCACAAATTTGCAAGGTATATTTCGTGGTATGTTACACACTATAATTCATATGTTTTTACACACACAATATATCAATCCAAATTATTACATTTTCTATGTAGTTTAAATTAATCTCCAAATTTTGGTTGGTCCATCGCGGATGCACACGACTCTTTTTTTTTTCTTTCAGTGTGCTGACACCAACCATTGTAAGATCCGTAGATAACTTGTTTTTATAGGATCTGTAGATAATTGCAAAATTGATCGCTCGATTTCTATTCAAGGCCGTGACGGTATACGGTGGGCACAAGCACGAGAGGTGTCTTGCGGTGACAGACAAGCCTCCCTTCTTCCTCCAGGCACACATTGTCCGGCGTCGTCCCCTCCGGGAGTGACCACTGGAAGGCGAAGAGCAGATTGGCGAGCGTAAATTCAACATTGGCCATGGCCATGGCCATGCCTGGGCATATCCGCCGCCCAGTGCCAAATGGCATCAGCTCAGGATGTTCCCCCTTGAAGTCTATCTCGTTTGCCTCGAACCTCTCGGGGTTGAACTCCTCCGGCTCATCGGGCCAGCTCGCCGGATCTCTACCGATCGCCCATGCATTGACGTAGATCCGCGTCTTGGCCGGCACATCGTACCCGCTGATCTGGATGTGCCGCATGGTCTCTCTTGGTAGTAGCAGCGGGGTAGGCGGGTGCAGCCGCAGGGTCTCCTTCACGACCTTCCTAAGGTAGCTGAGCTTCGTAATGTCATCAGGTTGCACCCTCCCGTTTACACCCACCGCAGCCCTGATCTCCGCCTGCACCTTCTTCAGCACCCGCGGCTTCCGGGCCAGCTCCGACATTGCCCACAATATCGTCGCTGCGTTCGTGTCAATACCAGCAACGAAAGTCGACTGCACATCATAAGGTGATTAATATTATCAAATACTCCCTCTGTTTCACAATGTAAGTCATTCTAGCATTTCCCACATCATATTGATATTGATGTTAATGAATCTAGAAGTATATACGTACTAGCTATACCTTAGATAACTCTTTTCTTTTGTTTAAGAATGCCTATATTCATGCATGAACTGTACATATAAGTGTTGAATTAATTTCTATATACTATAGCCTTGACATTTCCGTTTGAAAATATAAAAAGTCCTTGCTTTATGGAAAGTTAATATTATTTTTTTTACTAATAGTTAAACATAAAAATATATGTATAGTGTTATGAATGTACTAGTATCTAAAAATAAGTTATATTTTAAAATATTTTTTATGTTAAATTTAAAATTATAATATATTATGAAAAGGAAAACTAATAATCAAAGTAAAATGTTGGAGCTCGTGTGAAAACCTAATACGCCTTATATTTTAAAATGGAAGGGGTAACATACAAAGATTATGGCCTTGACGTTGTCCTTGGTGAAGCTGAATGTGCCACGAGGCTCGTTCTTCTTCCAGTGGCCGATGAGGACGTCGACGAGGTCGCCGCCGTTCTCCGGCGGCGCGCGGTTAGGGTCCAGGTGCTGCTCGATCACCATCTCGAAGAAGGAGTCGAGCTGCCGGAAGATCCGCTCGCGGCGGGCGGCGAAGCCGGTGAGGCGGTCGACGAGGCGGCCGACGGCGGCGGGGAGCTGGAGGTCCTCGGCGGAGGACCCTTCGCCGGAGAGCATCTCCATGACGTCGTCGAGCGCGTGCTGGAAGTTCTTGTTCTGGGAGAACTTGTCGCTGCCGTAGATGTTGCCGAACGCCACCGTGCCGATGATCCCGTCGGAGAGGCTCAGGATGTGCTCGTCCAACGCCACCGGCTTTCCCTCCGCGCGGCGTAGAGTGCTTAAGAGTTTCTCCACCTAATTATGAAGTAGTAAAATACGTGAGATTTGCTCTGGTCTAGCAAAAAGGCATCTCGAGGTACTAGTACCTAACAGTACTAAATCGTTTCTAATCGTTAGATCTACCTAAACAGGATGGACATTATTAGATCCAACGATCAAAATTGATTTGGTACCGTGAAGTACTGATACCTCATATTAATTTCTTAATACATATCAAACTTACGTGACATATATAAAAGATAACTTTACTAAGAAACCATCCTCTAGATAAAACCATACAACAGTAATGGATGAAATCGAATTTCACAACCGGTTTTGTTACACTCACCTGCTCATGACGTGCGTACCATGCAGCCTTAACGCGGCGCGCGCTGAGCAGCTCGACCATGAGAAGCTTGCGCACCTCGCGCCAGTACGCGCCGTAGGGCGCGAAGGCCACGTTCTTCATGCCGTACGTCACCCGCCTCGTCCCCGCGGACACGGGCCGCGTGCAGCAGTCGAGGTCGTGGCCCCTGAGCGCCTCCCACGCCGCCTCCGCCGAAGTCAACACCACGGCCGACGCCTTCCCGAGCCGCAGCCGCATCACCGGGCCGTGGACCCGGGCCAGGTCCCGCAGGGCCCGGTGCGGCTGCGGGCCAGCTAGCTGGTGCAGGTTTCCCAGGAGGGGAACCTGCTCCGGGCCCGGTGGCATCTTGAGGCGCCCTTTCCTCGCCAGCAGCACGAGGGAAACGATGACAGGAAGGAGCCCTGTGAGGACGACGGGCTGCCATTGTTGGGGTAGGGAGAAGAGCAGGGAGGTGATCAGTGAGATCGCCATTGATTATTTTTTGGACAACTATATAACTTCTTCAGCTTAGCCCGTGTATGTGTGATTTATATTCCAAAGTATGTTGGGCAAAAGGAACAACGGAAGAGAGGACGTGCCGAGTACACATCTCATCGTAACTATTTAAAGGCACGTATCGCTACGAGCTCACCGTTGAGACATCCAACACATAGCTAATTAAGTCAAGTACTCGTTCATTTTTTTATTATAAGTTGTTTGATTTTTTTTCTTAATCAAAGTTTATTAGATTTGACTAAGTTTATAAAAAAAATAGCAACATATATGCGCCAAATTAGTTTCATTAAATTTAATATTGAATTTTTTTAGAATTATACAGTACAACGCACGCGTACTCACCCCTGTGAACACACGCATGCAAACCCTACCCCTATGAGTATTTTCGAAGACTAGGCCGGCAAATCCTAGAGATTGACGAAGTCACTACAGGCGCCTCGCTGTTGACGGGTACGCCGCCTACCACTGAAAGTACAATGCCGTTAAATCCTGGAAAATTCGCTTCCATAGGGAGTCGAATATATATATTTTGATACAATGTTTGTTTTGTATTGAAAATGTTATTATATTTTGCTATAGACTTAATCAAACTTAAAGAAATTTAACTAATAGAAAAATCAACGGAGGAAATACAACAACTTGACAGTCTAAGAATTTACCGGTCATCACTCTCCTCAGTCAGCAGTCAGGTCCATACTTCAGCGCAACAAAGTCCTCGTCCTTGACCACATTCCATTCCATCCATACCTTCCTTCCAGTTGGTAGCTGGCCTGTTTGGAAAAGAGGGACTTATTTAAGTTCCTGTCACATCAGTTGACACTAATTTGGAGTATTAAACATATCCTAATTACAAAACTCATTCCATAACCTTGGACTAATTCACGAGACGAATCTTTTAAGTCTAATTACGCCATGATTTGACAATATGATGCTATAGTAAATTTTTCATAATTATAGATTAATTAGGCTTAAAAATTCGTCTCGCAGATTAGCTCTCATTTATGAAATTTGTTTTGTTATTAGTCTATATTTAATACTCTAAATTAGCATCCAAACATCCGATGTAATATGGACTAAAAAGTTTGAAATGGGCTAGACACACCAGCCAAGTGAGAGTTTTCCCTTGACCGCGTTACTGCAAGGGAAAATCAAACGAAAATATCTTATTTAATTAGGCCAGCTTTCTCATTTTCCGTTAACACATTTTTCAAAAAAAATCTTTTAAAAATCAAATAAAGTCATTTTAAAAGTTTATAATAGTTAATATTTAATTATTTATGTGCAAATGAATTATCTCGTTTACATGCCACCAAAAAGCTAAAGAAAAGCTTAAACTACCTTAGTACAATTCAGAAATCCAAATTAATCTGGTACCAAATTAAAGCAGGGCATTTTCCTGACCTTGCGCAACACTATCTACAACGTCTGAGCAAATTGATGCAGAAGCCATGCCTCTTGAGCTTTTCCACTCGATCACTCTTGAGCCCCATCTACTTACCGGTTTGTTTGCCTTTCGGGTATTCCTTCTAGAGGTCGCCTGTGGGTGGAGGCCGATTGAGCAAGAGAAGGGAAAATGTGGATTAGGCTGTCGAATAAATTAGTGGACCCGCCATTTTACACCATTGAATTAGATCTATTATTAAAAAATAATAACTTTCTCTTTTTTAATGATTTAAGCACTACTATTGTTGCCATGTACGTACAAGTTGATAGGATGCAAACCACGTCCTTCTCCCATGCGTACTTACCTAAAAAAACAAAACAAATAGTTTACGTACTGTTCACTGGAAAGAAAAGAAAAAACAGTACGCACGTACATAGAAAAGACAATAAAATAATACATCATAAAAATCGATGATCTGTTTTCTAAAAAAACTACAGCACAAATATAAATATATATAGTTAAACTAAGATCTATAATAATAATATAAAATATCCTGTCAATGTTGCTTGAACTATCTTCTAAATTATTTTTAAATTATATATCCAATTTGTGATTCCGTTGTACTTTAATTAAATTATAAAAGTTATATTGTGTTCCTAAATACATCACGACGTATGGGGCTGATATATAATAGTTAGTTGTTTGATAATCTATTATATATTAAAAGTCTATTAAACATCCTAAAAACACTCTTAAACCATTAAAAATATGGCATTCTACAAATGCTCTCATCTCACCATGTCTCACTCTAGCAAATTAGAAAAAAACAAAACATCTAGCCATCGATTTTCACTAATATACAGTGGACCCATATTTTCTACCATCGGATTTACTTAAACAAAAAAAATAAACTTCCTACTAACGCTCCTAAGCCACCTACAAACGCTCCTATGTTGCCACGTGACATTTTACAATCTCACCGTCGATTTTCATTTAAATTGGTGGACCCATTATTTCAGACCATTAGATTAGATCTATTTGCTTCCTCTTGATATCATGCGCATTTTAAGTGAAACCGTTTATACGGACAATCTAAATTCTATTATCATCGATTTATATGTTATACTTACGCACAATGTAAAAAAGGAAAAATCTCACGTACGTATGCAGACTTGAAAAATAATACCTATATGTACTGTTCATTTAAAGAAACGTACGTACGTACGATAAAATCTATAAAAAAGGTACTGTTCACTAGAAAAAGATACGTACATATGCGAGTAAAAAAGAAAAGCTATAAGACCCTAAAAAATATATTTACGCCGGTAGAAAAAAAAAGATGGTTTTTTAAAATAGTATTTTCTATAGTAGAAAATAAAATTTATTACTCCATAAATATAGAAGAAAAAGTATGATTTAAAAATATATGTTTTCAGCTGCACGGGTATTGTTCTTACAGGTGAGACTTTAAAAAGTCGATCTAGCTAACAATATATATAGTCACTTTCTATTTTATTTATGCATACAAGTGAAGTGGTACATGATGAAATAATATGTACTCACAAGTTTATATAATTTTCATATGTGATTGAATGAATAGAACTTAGAAGAATATACATTTTTACGAGTGAAGTAGACAGAAAATGTCATAAATTCTAATTGTGATTTTTATCATAAATAACACAATGGTCCAAATAGATAAAGAATGAACATACGATTTCAAAGTTAAAAATTATTACGATCTAAAAAATATTGTTACAAATAAATATTTAATTTGGAAGGTTGTGGTTATTTAAAAATTATTGTTGCAAATATTTTCATAAAGAGAAAAGGGAGAAAAATAATCAAGAGGATAACCTTCCTACAAACGCTTAAAAATTATTGTTGCAAATATTTTCATAAAGAGAAAAAAGTAATCAAGAGGATAAACTTCCTACAAACGCTTATAATCCGCCATATAGTACCCTATAAGCGTTCCTAGACCGCCACGTAGTGCACTAATAAATCATAGAAATTGTAAGAAAAAAAACATCTTACCATCGGTTTTCATTTAATCTGGTAGACCCATTATATTCAACCATTAGATCTATCTTAAAAATTAATAATTAAATTTATCTGTAAAAAGGACCACGTCGTAATGTCACTACCAACCAATATATATGCACATAGCTACCTAGGTATTCCTCCTTAAGAAAAGTACATACCTACGTACAGTACGTACGCATGTTTCCTCCTTAAGAAAAAAACATGTACCTATGTACGGTACATACACACGTCGGGTCCTACATCCTTATTTTTTCTTTTCTTTTTCTCATTTAGATTAGATGGGAAACCAAAATAATAATTTAAACACATTATTAGCATGTCATCAAAACATCCATAAAAAATATAAATAAATTAAAAGTATAGATTATGTGATAGTTAAATTAGACTTACATTTTCCAAAATAAAAACACTTCAACTGTGTGCAGAATTTTCAAAAATTACTCACTCCTTGATATGGCAAAAGGATGTTACTGAATTTGTCATAAATATATTTTCATGTATTATGTGTTTACTCTATTCATATATTATTAGAAAATTGAAGGTCAAATATATTCATTTCACACCATATCAATAACTTTTTTCTCCTACTTAGCCTTCGTTCTCCTACTTAGCCTTCATTTGATATAGCTTATTGATGTAGCTTACCCTGGGTACGCATAAAGACACAAGTCATTAGGACAAGATTAATCGAGTATTAGATATTACAAACTTGAAAATGAATTTATTTGTTTCTATAAAACTTATATAATAAAATTATTTTGTAAAACACACACCATTTAGCAATTCGGTAAACATGGTCACGATAAATAACAGAGTAGCCAATCCGATAAGCACTTTAGAACTTTACCATAAACTTATTACTTATGTACTAAAATTAAATATGTAGTATATAATATACTTTGTGAATCAAGAATAGTATAATATATCAATCATATGTCCTTGATAAATCCTATGTAGTAAGTTCTATATACAAACCAGTGTCACTAATCGTCAAGTTATATTGCTTATGATATATGCATGCACAATGCACCTAATAATTATTTGACATCCAGTAAGCACGTATGTCATCAAGCACCAAAGATAAAGATGACACTAAGTAGAGGATGCCACAAAATCACAACAAATAATAGTTGACTACAAGTAGATTGTGAGTATGAGTAACAGTGTTCCTATACTCCTACAAACACTTAGAAGATGCCATGTGATGCTCTAATAAATTAGAGAAAATGTAAGAAAATTTATAAGGCAAAAATAAAACATCAAGCTATCGATTTTCACTTAAACCGGGGAATCCATTATTTTTAACCATTAAATTAGATTTATTCAGGTAAGCCCTCGCTCCTAAAACCACCTAATCCCTCTCTATGCACGTACATACACAAGAGATGTCAAAAACAAAAAAGAAGAGTGCATATATGGTCCACCCCATCTAGCAGTTTTTTGTTTCTTTCTTTGTAGCCATAAAGTTTTTTCTCAAATTATACATATATGTAGTGACTACTCTTTGCGAGGTTGACGAAGAAGCCACGCTGCCATGGCGCTGCTTCATGCCACCCTCGCCAATTTTCTTGAAAATATTCTTTTAACTAATAGTGTAAAAGGCAATCCTAAGCGGGCTTATAAACGTGTGCATACCCACCTTTGAATATTTCACGGTAAA